ATAAGTCACCAACTATCTGCAGAGTCAATAGCTTGCTGACGCCTTAAGAGTTCCCTTAACTAGAACCAATGGGCCAAACCCAACCCCTGAAAAACAACCCCACAACATAATCCCCATCCACCAAACTTTACACTTGGTACAATGCAGTCAGGCAAGTACCGTTCTTTTGGCAACCGCCAAACCCAGACACTTCCATCAGATTGCCAGATGAGTGTGATTCATCACTCCAGAGAACATGTCTCCACTGCTCTACAGTTCGGTAGCGGTATGCTTTACACCACTGCATCCAGCGCTTTGCATTGCACTTGGTGATGTATGGCTTGGATGCAGCTGCTCGACCATGAAAACCCATTCCGTAAAGCTCTCTGTGCACTGCTGTGCTAGTCTGAAGGCCACATGAAGTTTGGAGATCTTTAGCTATTGACTCTGCAGACAGTTGGCGACTTCTGCGCACTGTGTGCTTCAGCATGTGCTGACCCCGCTCTGTCATTTTACGTGGCCTATCACTTCGTGGCTGAGTTGCTGTTGTTCCCAGTTGCTTCCACTTTGTTATAATACTACTAACAGTTGACTGTGGAATATTTAGTAGCAAGGAAATTTCACAAATGGACTTATTGCACAGGAGGCAACCTATCACCATACCACGCTTGTGTTCGCTGAGCTCCTGAGAGCGACCCATTCTTTCACAAATATTTGTAGAAGCAGTCTGCATGCCTAGGTGCTTGATTTTATATACCTTGAAGGTGATTGGAACACCCGAATCCAATGATTTGGAGGCGTGGCCCAATATCCCAATACTTTTACTTATATATCCACACGCACACACACTAACAAAACATTTTATTATATTGCCGCTTACCAATTCTTAGATGTGATGACTGCTTTCGTTTATGTTTTAGGCGTTTTTTTCTTCTATTTTCATCTGGTGGTCAAGCCAATAAGTCTGTTTTTCAAAAGAACAAGCTCTCCAGCAGAGTGCATCAGTTACAGAGAAGAGACAAACCATTAACCACTGACAGGGATGCTTACAGTGTTTGCCTTTTATTTAAGTAAAACCTTTCTCCCAAAAGGAAAAAAAGTGTTGCTGTAACTGTTTATAAAGTGGAAGCTGGAATTTGGTTTCAGTTCATGTATCTAGATCTGCCACTGCTAGTCCACCTAACTCCCCTCCCCCCCGGACTGACAATGCAGCTGTCTGATGTGCCTCCTGTGGTACTTCATACAGTGTGTAGGCACTGTAATACAGAAGGTGTTTTCCCGGCCAGATCACCAGGTGAAAGCAGAGGGGAAAATGGCAAAAAAAAAAAGAAACCTAATACAGCCACCACATCTAATGATCTGGCCAGTAAACACTGTGTGTTTTAGAGTGCCACCACTCCTAAAGAATGAGCACGGGGGGCACTTTTGGACAGCAGCATTGTCAGTACGAAGGAAGGGGAGTGTTTAGATGTACTAACTGTTAGATTAAAATACACTTACAAATTGAAGCCAAAATCGAGCACTTTTTTCCCCTCAAAAAAAGGGGAGGAAATGTCAGTGTGTCATATGGAGTGGCCGGTCCGGTATTCCCACCACCACCGCCGCCGTGTGAGAATACCGGGCCGGCCACTAGTCTCTTCTCTGTAGCAGAGAACCGTGTGGAGCACATAATATACTGCATTGCTTACCCAAAGTGGGCATGGATTAAATTCATTTTTTTCCTCAACATTCTACAAACAATACCCCATAATGACAACGTGAAAGACGTTTGTTTTGAAATCTTTGCAATTTATTAAAAATAGAAAAACTAAAAACCCCCACATGTACATAAGTATTAACAGCCTTTGCCATGACACTCAAAATTCAGCTCTGGTGCATCCTGTTCCCACTGATCATCCTTGAGATGTTTCCACAACTTGATTGGAGTCTGTGGGAAATTCCATTGATTGGACATCATTAGGAAAGGCATAAACTTGTCTATATAAGGTCCCACAGTTAACGGTGCATGTCAGAGCACAAACCAACCCATGAAGTCCAAGGAATTGTCCGTAAACCTCCGAGACAGGATTGTATCAAGGCACAGATCTGGGGAAGGATACAGAAGATCTCTGCAGCATTGAAGGTCCCAATGAGCACAGTGGCCTCCATCATCCGTAAATTTAAGAAGTTTTGAACCATCAGGAATTTTCCAAAGCCGCCCTGCCCAGCCAAAATGAGTGATCAAGGGAAAAGAGCCTTAACCAAGCACCCGATGGTCACTCTGAAAGAGCTCCAGTGTTTTCTCTGTGGGGAGAGGAGAACCTTCCAGAAGAACAACCATCTCTGCAGCAATCCACCAATCAGGCCTGTATGGTAGAGTGCTGAATCCAAAAAACAGAGGTATATCGCTCAGGCAAACAATCCAGATCAATCCACAACAGGTGCAGGCTCTGGCTCGCCACCACACACGATGCAATAGGAAGAAGGGTCAGCCACACACCGGAGGATAGATGAATATAGTGTGTATTTATTGATCCATAGGACACACAAAACACCAAGACATGAATACAGGACCTGATAACGCGTTTAGGCATGAGATTGTGTGAAATGCGTTAACAGGTCCTCTATTCATGTCCTGGTGTTTTGTGTGTCCTATGGATCAATAAATACACAATATATTCATCTATCCTCCGGTGTTTGGCTGACCCTTCTTCCTATTGTATGGTAGAGTGGCCAGACGGAAGCCCGCCTGGAGTTTGCCAAAAGGCACCTGAGGGACTCTCAGACCATGAGAAACAAAACTCTCTGGTCTGATGAAACAAAGATTGACCTCTTTGGTCTAAATGCCAAGTGTCATCGCTCATCACTTTGCCAATACTATCCGTACAGTGAAGCATGGCGGTGGCAGCATCATGCTGTGGGGATGTATTTCAGCGGCAGGAACTGGGAGACTAGTCAGGATCAAAGGAAAGATGAATGCAGCAATGTACAGAGACATCCTTGATGAAAACCTGTTCCAGAGCGCTCTGGACCTTAGACTGGGCGACGATTCATCTTTCAACAGGACAACGACCCTAAACACACAGCGTACATAACTAAGGCGTGGCTACGGGCCAAATTTGTGCATGTCCTGGAGTGGCCCAGCCAGAGCCCAATTGAACATATCTGGAGAGATCTGAAAATGGCTGTGCACCGACGCTCCCCATCCAATCTGATGGAGCTTGAGAGGTACTGCAAAGAAGAATGGGAGAAATTGCCCAAAAATAGGTGTGCCAAGCTTGTTGTAGCATCATACTCAAAACAACTTGAGGCTGTAATTGCTACTAAAAGTGCTTCAACAAAGTATTGAGCAAAGGATGTGAATACTTCTGTACAATGTACATGGGTTTTTTTTTTTTCGTTTTTCTATTTTTAATAAATTGCAAGATTTCAAAACGACCTTCTTTCACGTCATTTTTGGTTATTGTTTGTAGAATGTTGAGGAAAAAAATGAATTTAATCCAATAAAGCTGTAACATAACAAATGAAAATAAGGCTGTAACATAACAAAATGTGGGAAACGTTAAGTGCTGTGAATACTCTCTGGATGCACTGTATGTACTGCATAGTGTATGGGAGAAGTTTAAAGTATGGCACTTACAGTGTTCTGACTGAGGGCCTGGAGTATGTCATGTACAGCATAGTTTTTATAGAGTGGCATGGTTCTAACTGGGCTGGATTTTATGGCCTAATACACACAATAAAAGGCTTTTCATGAGCATGGTTTATAAAAAATCTATTCCGGAGGAAATTTGGCCTGTGATCTGCTTACAGGCATCCCCCCCACACCACAGTAAAAAAATCGAAATAACCAACAAGAAGTGCATTTTACTCTGGGTGGTAATCTTTGCTTTGTTACAGCGGTTGTAATGGCTCAGGTTTTTTTCACCTGCTCGCATTCTATGCATGAAGGTAAAAAACCTTTTGTGTACAGCAGTGCCCCCAGCCCCCTCAACACTTACCTGAGCCCCATCAAGATCCAGCGATTTAAACAACAGCCTCGGCTGTCCCAGATCTCTGCCTCCTCATTGGCTGATACAGCAAGTGGGAGCCATCATCCCCAGGCCCCCTAATACTCCCCTAAGCTCCCTCGTGATCCAGTGATGTGCAATGGAGTCTCGGCTATCCCGGGACTCCCTCTTCTCATTGGCTGAGACAGAAGCAGGAGCCACTGGCTCCCACTGCTGTCAAGTCACAACCAGTCAGCCCATGACCAGAGAGGGGCAGGGCCATTTGTGGCTCCATGTGTGACTGGACACACAGAGTAGCTGGGGTCCCCACAGCAAGCAGCTTGACTGGCTTAAAGCGATCAGTATCGCTTTTAGAGATGAACACTGTTCCCACCAAGATCCAAGATGATCCATAAACACAGTGCATCTTGCATACCCATTGGTAAATGGTGACTGCCTTATTTCTAAGACCTAAGGAATCGGTGGTCACTGGTAGTGATTGCATTTAGGTCCTGTTACATACACACAAAATGGCAGGAGAGAACAGGAATGCGTTGTAAATAAATCCGCCATAATTTTCTGAAGCACTGAATGTTACGGTGTACATTAGTAGTGTGCATTAACAGTCCACATCATTCACTACAGTACTTTACACCATTAATCCAAATATACTTAGTATGCATGACCATCATATCTCATATCCACCTCTGAGTTCCTTCTGAGAAGGTTGACACTCAGGCTGCAGGTAGATCTGCCATGCTTGGCCAGCAGCCTTCATTTTCTCCAGGATTTTCTTTCTAATGTTAAGCTTTACCAATTCTCTGTACATCCCTTCCCTGTCTATCCTAGTGCTGTCCCTTTTTACACTGAACCTTATTGTTGATCGGGGGGCTACATCCCAGGGATAGTCATAAAAGCATTTATTTAAAACTAAAATATGTTTGTACTTTTTTTTTTTTTTTGCCTGTTGACAATATTGTAGACAATACTGCCTTGGTTTTTTATTTATTATTATAGATTTTTTCAGATGTGTATTTTTTACCTGTGTTTTATATGTTGCTTTTTAGGTTTGTCTGGAGACCAGAGAATGTTTCATGGAAAGGAAGCTGTGGAGACACGACATGGTCGGGTTAGAAATGGGGAAACGCCACGATTCCATACGGTGAACTTTGCCCAGCCTGTGCGCTTTAGCAGTAAGTTTATTAGGCGTTATCTGTTTATTATGTATTATGTAACCACTCAGATACCTTTCTTGTAATGGCCCATTCACACATGCCTGCACACTAAAACAATTTGTTTCATTGCACAGGCTAGTGTCCTTTCTGTGCCCATGGTGGGGATCTGTTACAACGCAAGGCACAGTTTTACCTTTTTATTGAAATGTCAAAGTGATATTTCAGTCACATCTATTTAATATAGTGGAGCTGCAGTGCGGTGACCAGCTCTAACATCAGTTGACCTCCAGTGCAATAAAGAAAAATGCAGCATGTCTTGTGGTGTAATCTGGGGGAATACATTTATGATATCCCAGATGCATGCATGCACACATACATACAGAGAAATTATTATATATATTTTTTTCCACTTTAAAAATAAATAAATGCACCTTTTTATTTTTTTTGCAGATAAAAAAATGTTTATTATTATTCATTTTTTTTTTTTTTAGGAGCCCGTAAATCATTGTTCCTAACATCAGCAGATCGTGGGTGCAATGTCAGGCTCCAGCAGACTGTTTAGCTATCTGCCCGTAACTCCAATACAGGCAGGCAGTTTCTAAATGACAGGAAGATCAATGAGCTGCCTAGAATGTTCATCAGCTTTCTGGTATTTCATTAAGAACTACAAGCCATCAGCCGCAAAGGCATTATGGTACTTATAATTAATTAATTCACACAACTCTGTGAAGCTCTTTTTGAATTCTGAGAGCGGGTTCGGGGAGAAGATGCCCGGTCCACTGTTACAGGGAGAGGTGGGATTGGCGGGAGAGCAGGGAGATGCTGAACATGTTATGTAATAAGGGTGTAACTTGTAGCATGTTCACAAAGGTGATCCTTTAAGCTTACTAGTCCTTAGATTTATGGTTACATTAGTTTTTTTTTCCCTTTAATTTCACCTGGTTATCTTGCAAATAACACACTTCCTGTCCCCTAATGTCTATGCTCATCATCTATGGAGGAGCCACAGTTGTCATATAGGCTGGACTTTATGCTTTTTGTTCATCTCCATTAAATGGTATGTTGCTGGGACTAGTAGTTTACACAAGGAAGATAGTGTTTATTTTGCTTCTTTTAAGCTCACAGTACGTGACAAGGACATTGTATTTCTGGCCAAATCAATATATATTTTCTGTACTTGCTGAAAATGTTCTGAAAAGCAAAAATGTAATGCATCCCCCACATCCTAAAGATTGCTCAACAGCAATGTATACCATATTTTTAGTTTTGGTTTTAGGGGCACTTTAAGAATATGTTTTTAATAAATTCTTTATTTAGGAGAAATTGACAATCCAATTGATTAGTTAAAATAGCAAACATCATAGCGTACAGTTGCAAGAAAAAGTATGTGAACCCCTTGGGATTACGTGGAGTTTTGCATGAATTGGACATAAAATGTGCTCTGAACATCATCTAAGTCACAACAATAGAAGAACACAGTCTGCTGAACATAATACTACACAAACATTAGATGTTGCCAAGGTTTAATTGCACATAACATGTAAACATTCACAGTGCAGGGAGAAAAAAGTATGTGAACCTTTGGACTTAATAACTGGTTGTCCCTCCTTTGGCAGCAATAACCTCAACCAAACGTTTCCTGTAGTTGCAGATCAGACCTGCACAACGATCTGGAGTAATTCTGGACCACTCCTCTTCACAAAACTGTTTCAGTGTAGCAATATTCTTGGGATGTCTGGTGTGAATCGCTCTCTTAAGGTCATGCCACAGCATTTCAATCGGGTTGAGGTCAGGACTCTGACTGGGCCACTCCAGAAGGCGTATTCTGTGCTGTTGCAGCCATTGTTTTGTTGAATTACTTGTATGCTTTGGGTCATTGTCCTGTTGCATCACCCATCCTCTGCGAAGCTCAGTTGGCGGACAGATGGTCGTATGTTTTCCTGCAAAATGTCTTGATAAACTCTGGAATTCATTTTCCCATCAATGACAACAATCCGTCCAGGCCCTGAGGCAGCAAAGCAGCCCCAAACCATGATGCTCCCTCCGCCATGTTTTACAGTGGGGATGAGGTTTTGATGTTGGTGTGCTGTGCCTTTTTTTCTCCACACATAGTGTTGTGTGTTCTTCCCAAACAACTCAATCTTGGTTTCATCTGTCCACAGTATATTTTGCCAATAGTGCTGTGGAACATCCAGGTGCTCTTTTGCAAACTTTAAACGTGCTGCAATATTCTTTTTGGACAGCAATGGCTTCCTCCGTGGTGTCCTCCCATGTACTCCATTCTTGTTTAATGTTTTCCTTATTGTAGATGTGTCAACAAAAATGTTAGCATGTGCCAGAGATTTCTGTAGGTCTTTAGCTGACACTCTGGGATTCTTCTTTACCTCATGCAGCATTCTGCGCTGTGCTCTTGCAGTCATTTTTACAGGACGACCATGCCTAGGGAGAGTAGCAACAGTGCTAAACTTTCTCCATTTGTAGACAGTCTGTCTTACCATGGACACATGAACATCAAGGCTTTTGGAGATACTTTTGTAACCCTTTCCAGCTTCATGCAAGTCAACAATTCTTGATTGAGAGCTCTTTTCTGCGAGACATGGTTCACATCAGACAGTGCTTCTTGAAACCAGTAAACCCAAAACAGGTGTGTGTTTTTTAAGGGCAGGACAGCTGTTAGCAACACATCCAATATCATCACACTGATTGGAGTCAAGGTTGGCTCACTCCTGGCTCCAATTAGCTCTGGGAGAAGTCATTAAGCTAGGGCCTCACATACTTTTTCCTCCCTGCACTGTGAATGTTTACATGTTGTGTGCAATTAAACCATGGCAACATCTAATGTTTGTGTAGTATTATGTTCAGCAGACTGTGTTCTTCTATTGTTGTGACTTAGATGACGTTCAGAGCACATTTTATGCCCAATTCATGCAAAACTCCACGTAATCCCAAGGGGTTCACATACTTTCTTGCAACTGTATATTTATAAATGCATTCCAAAAATGGAGATTTGTATTTTTAAAGACATACAGTAGATTTGAAATGTATTTTTAAAAATATTTTTCACATATTTTGTAATAAAAAACGCATTTCAACATACAGTGTGTGTGTATTGTAAATTGTAGTATTTCAAATATATGTCAATATATTTGGGGAGAATATTTTTAAAATATATTTCAAATATTTTTCTTCTATGTGGGATGCATGTATGGGTAGTTGGCAAGGCTCAGGACTATGTGATTATTATGGATGGTAGAGGAGTATGAGGCATTTTAGGTACTGCTGGGTTGGATAGAAGGTAGGATATGCTTGGTAGAGTTGTGGTTTGCTGAGTGAAAGATTATGGGGGGTTATGGTTGTATGTGGTGCATGGTCGAAGTATGATGGAGTGGTTAGGGGAACATTGGAAGCCCTAATGTAATGTGGGGGGGCTCTGGGGACCCCAATGTAATGTGGGTAACATTTAACAGTGTCATTTCATGAGATAATTTAGGAGGGCGTGTTTAGGGGCGGGACAGGCAAGGTAGGGGTTGGGTGGGGCAACTGGTGGCGAGTAACTCTTAAGGCCTGGCTAGTAGCTCAGGACTTGAAATTTTGAGCCCTGTCCTATACCACCTGGTAGGGGTTAGGAGTTTGTATCTGCTTTCCTGGTACTTACAGGCAATAGATGCTTTATGCGCAAAAAGGAGTATTCATTATTTTTGAGTGTCAGAAAATTTGATCCTTAAGTCTCAGTGTTTCAAGAATGGTAGGTCAGGATGGTTTTGGTGTCAGTCAAGGAACTATAAAAAAGGGACAGAATGTTTTATGGGAGTCCTATCAAGACAAAGTTCTTCAAAAGAAGTATGATTGCGTGTATTCTTATGGGCCTGCGGGAGGTCACAAAATAAATGCTAAGTTAAGTTGTACGTAGAAAGTCCATTTGAGAGGCAAAGGTGGTCTCTAATTCTTTACGTCAGGGGACCAAGGAAATATTGTGCATATTTTGAGCAAGCAGTCCATGTGCGTCTTTTTTATACACTTCTTCTATGTCTGCTTTCTTTTGTTTATTGGGCTGTCCTCTTGTGTGCCTGTATGCAAGTAGGTTGTGGGTCCCATCTCTCTCCCCCCACAGCCTGACAAGTTGTGTATCATCTATTTTACACTGCTGTACTTGTAACAGTTGCAATATTACCATTTGAAGATCCATGTACAATAATGCTGGTTCACAGCTTTTTGCCAGGACTTGGCCAATCCTCTGACCTTAATGAGGACAGGCATACAAGAGTGCAAACCTACAGACTTATAAAAATGAAATGAAAAATATATTTAACAAAATAAGATCCATCTGTCAGTTTAACAATTCCTGTTCAAAACCATTTTAAAAAGCAATATAGAGTCCAGGTAAAATTAATTTATAATGTGCGTCCTGGAAACCTATTTGAAGACTACTGATGCTGAATAACTAGTTTTCATGACTGTTTTCTGTCATAATTGTAATGGACATATTTTACTGTAACTATATAAATTTGTCAGCTTGTGCAGCATCCAGCAAGCAACATTAAAAGGAAACTGTTAGGATAGAAATATGGGAACTTGTATTGTTGAGGCATTCAGGTCTGTTAAAATCTGACTGTTGCTGCCTAGTTATCTTCTTGACCTTGCACACTATATTTCATCTATGAGTGTGCAGAGTTTGAGGTTAGACAATTGACAGGCAACAACTGTCAGTCTTCTGGTGACTTCTGACCTTGTGATGGTACAGTGTGGCACTTGGACAAAGGAAACCCAAGCTACACAAGTACACTATTGGTCTTATTAGCCATTAGGTTAGGGCCACTTGTACAGAGCTTTCTGCCTTAATGTGTCCAAGATGTTCATATTGTGGGGGTGGTGTTCCCCCTTGTTTTTTTTATGTTTCCTAGGAAAATGCCCATCAGGATGGCACCACTATGATGGAACAGCAAGCTGCTATAAGGTGTACTCCTCTGGCGAAAACTACTGGGATGCCGTTCAGACATGTCAGAAAGTGAATGGCTCACTGGCAACATTTACCACAGATTCAGAGTTAAAATTCATTTTGGCCCAGGAGTGGGACATGGAAGAAAGGCCATTTTTAAGAAAAGACCAGCGAAGGTGAGGGAAGATTTAAAAATAATAAATAAACCAACCAAATAGTGCTTACATTTAACATTGAATAGGCACTTTTGTCGTGTGCAATCAACCCTTTTACTGCCATAGCTGTAATTACTACTCTAGGACAATAAGAGGAAATGAACAAGCTCATGACTGCGATAGCAGCTGTAAGCTTGTTTTTAAGTTTTAAGAGCCATGCTTTTTTCTTGTAGACGTGTTCACATCTACACCGTCCACAAGTACACATTTTTATTTACTATTGTAAAGCTAAGTGCAGTAAAGTATTATGCACCCTGTCAATTGTGCAGAATTTTCATTGACATGTATTTGTGTCTCCTGCTGGCTTGTACATCGCTGCAAGATGTACAAGCCAGGGGGTCTGGGGAGAGGATTGGGCGTTCAACCCATCTGATCATTCAAGTACTTGTAGCTGCTGTGGAGCAGTGACACAGCGCAGTGTCAAGATGGGATGCCTGAAAGGTAGGTATCAAGCCTGTTCTTTTGCAGGTATGATTTTCTATACAGTTGATCCTGTGATGATAAGGTGAGTTTAATGTTAATTCTTTAATATGTTTAAATATGTTTAAATTGTTACTAAACCCACAACAGCAAAATCAGCCTGTATATGCAATAAAGCATGCTTGTTATACTCTGTGGAACCTAGGGGGTTAATCCTCCACACTGTAAAAAGGCTGTTTGATCCGGTCTTCTGTGATCCTCCTCTTCTACTAACCCAATCCATCTCCTGATAGTACAGAGCTCTAGGAGTCAATTTGCACATGCTCAGTTTAGTGTGTATGGCTAGAGTTTTTTTTTTTTTTTTTTTGGGAGGGTGCATGAGATCAGCACAGGGCCAATCACCACTGTCTAGACAGAGGGTCAGAGGTCAAACAGCCTCGTAGACAGAGCAGAATGAAAACTCCTCCTACAAGATTAACCAATGCCCAGCTGGACACTGATAGAAGTCACAAAACTGCTATATACTGCTAATGAGAAAAGTTATTTAGCAGTTTATATTTACTAAAATAATTGCATTTCCATGTAGTGTGTACTATGAGGGACCAGATATAGTGAATGCAGGGTCCTGGTTTTAGTAACACTTTAAATGCTATGAGTCATGTTTTAAATTTTACTATGGTTGTCAGTAATAAAAGTGACCGGGTAGCTTTATTACCATGACAGAATTGAGCTGTTCTCAGACTCACCTTGTTTTGTAGCTGGGTTTATGTAGTTTTGTTCTGATAATGTTCTGCAAAACTGTTTACGGTGTCAATTATTCAACAGGTTTTGGGTGGGGTACCAGTTTGTGATAACAAGCAGGAACCATTCTGTGGAGGGACACTGGGAGGTTGCTTATAAAGGTAAGTGTTGGCTACTGCAGCTCCACTTTAAACATGTTAGCCTTTATAATGTTTAACCCCTTAGTGACTGAGGGTAAAACGAATGTTTAACTCCTGAACATAATTTTGCAACTTTGACATGCATTAGTAAAACTGTACATATCATCACAGCTACTTTGTGTATCCAGATGAATTATACCTTGTTTTTTTCAGGACAAAGTTGGCTTTCTTTTGGTGGTAAGTAGTAACGGATGTCTCCTAATTTTTTTTGTTTTTATTATCAAAGGAAAACTGGCCCAGTTGTTTATTTCTTGCTATTACCATAACTTCCCACCAAAGAATAACCCAAAATGAGTTCTGCTCCTGACGACCGCAGCGATGCCACATATTTGTTGTATGTACTCATAGTAGGGCCCAGAAACGAGTGCACATTTTGCTTTTTTTTATCTTACCTAAAATGCAATGACATTAACTGTTGCTGATTTAACTGCTTGCTGCCTACCCACAGTACTTTTACTGCGAGCGGACAGCAACTGCAGGCTAAGCAACGTAACTATATGTTGCTTAGCACATGTGCACTGGCACACCCCTGGGGCATACAGCGACGCAATCCCATGAGGACACAGTGGATCACAGTGCTTGGTACCCTGCCACTGTGAGCAGCCGAGGTATCGTGATCGCTATGACCAATCATAGCGATCACATGATTACTTGTAAGCAAAACAGTCGTGAATGTAAGCCGTTCATGAATGCTTGCCTTACTATTGTGATCACATCACCCTGTACCATGTGATTAGCTGTACCCTATCACAGATCACAATAGTAAGCAAGCTGTCATGAATGAAAGCCATTCATGACAGTTAAAACTATTGCTTATAGCAGTGATCATCCATATTATAAGCAGTAACGATGTAAAAAAAAAAAAAAAAATCCTCGATCACCCCCAGAGAGCAGTACAGTGTCACTCTGATAACAGTAAAAGAAATCTTAAAAGAAACAAAAGTTGAAAAAAATTGAAAATACATTTTTTTCTATTTGTTTTACAAAATATTATAACCAAAGAAGAACTTGGGTTTTTTTTTTTTTTTTTTTTAATTGTTGGTATTTTTTTGTCTATATAGCAAAAAGTAGAAACCCTAGTGGTGATTAAATACCACCAAAAGAAAGCTCTGTTTGTGTGAAAAAAAATGATAATTTCTTTTGCGTACGGGGTCCCGATCGTTATTAGGAGACCTAGGGCTCTCAATGAGAGCCCAGTCTTTGTGCTGGTAGTGCACTGTGCTGCGCACTTCCAGCACGAAGACACGTACGAATATATGCGGCCTCACAAATAAAGACCCACTTCCACGAGACCACATATTTGCGTACTGTTGGTGGGAAAGGGTTAAACACTGCATATAGCTCTTTAAGTTTGTTTTTGCTCCTTGACAGTAGCTAGATTGGTACTTACATTCCTGATTTCCTTATCTCATTTCTCAGGTTCCTCTGAAGTTTTCTTACCCCCAGTGCCCATATTTGGATCAGCAATGGCTGAAAATGAGAACATACTGTGTGCACAATTGCAGTATTTCCATCTGCCTTCTCTTCGGCACCATGGCCTGCACAGCTGGTATGCTGAGAACTGTTATGAAAAATCATCCTTCCTGTGCAAGCGCAGTAAGTAGGTTTTGTTGTTGGCTCTTTAATATGTATATCGAATTTGGATTTCTATATTGGGTGAATGATGTGAAATTGGTTGAGCCAATCTTCATTTTCATGTCTCAGAGTTAACTTTACTTAATAATAAATATATATAAAAATAAATATATATATAAATTGTGGTTCAAATTGTGTGGTGCAATAGAATTGAAGATTGAAGAAAGCGTAAAATTTTGTTAGAAAAACCACTCTCGGGTTAAAGTAGCATACGTAATAGAACATGTTACAAATACTGAAACAAGGCTCCGGTAAACAATTTTGATGGCATTTCTGTTAAATGTTCAATTATGTCAATTTAGATTGCCATAAATATATCAAACTATGCACCTTCTACTGCCACATATTACCATATTACATTAAGATCGTTATCACAGGTGTGCTTAGGGTTAGGGGGGAGGGCTCAGGAAATCATTCCTGCATCATTTGGAAAATAGTACAAAAAAATGGCCACTGTCCAGTCTATAACTGGCCTTCACAGCAAGGAGCACATGGAAAGGTGACGCATGTCAAACAATAAAAGAGAAAAATTCCCACCTCAACTTACCAATCAGCTTGCAAACAAGCCGAATTAGCCTGTCTAACAGTATGCATTAAAACAGGGGTTTAGTTAGCAAACATTTGCAAACACGTGTAATCTACAGAGCCTCTTCACGGCACCCCAATATTCTGCAGTTTCTAACTCTACAAATTTTGAGAGCCCCCATAGTAGAGGCACATGTATTTAATGGATAGACTGAGGGTGGGTGAACCTGAGGGAGCCCACCCCTCCTTAAAGGTACAGGAGCACCCAGCATATAGCACAATGGCAGCCAAGGTGTCCAGTCCGCCCCTTCACCAACAAGTCAGTAGTTCAAAAAAATGGCCACTGCAACAGTCTATAAATGGCCTTCACAGCAAGGAGCACAGGGAAGGGTGACGCATGTCAAACAATAAAAGAGAAAAATTCCCAGCTCAACTTACCAACCAGCTTGCAAACAAACTGAATTAGCCTGTCTAACAGTGTTAATTAAAAACGGGTTTGTTAGCACATGTTTGCAAATGCGTGCTAATTGGACCCGTTTTTAACGCATACTGTTAGACAGGTTAATTCGGTTTGTTTGCAAGCTGGTTGGTAAGTTGAGCTGGGAATTTTTCTCTTTTAGCATTATGAAAATGATGTGTGAAGCCGGCCATAGTTGGTTCGAATCTCTGTTGGTTCCGCTGGGACCACCCATGATTTGAACCATGTATAGGCAGGCTGAGGTACCCAATTCAGTTGTACGATTTGGGTACAACCAGCCTGTCAGATTTGTCATGTAATTATTGCCAACATCTATAGCCGCTAGCAATAATGAATGTGTGACAATAGTCACCTCCCTGTGCCCACCTGCACCCCTCCGGGAGAACACAATAGATCTGTGGGAGGGATTCTCCCATCAATACATTAAGTTTGATGGTTATATATCTCCATGCTAGCTGACTGAACACAGGAGGCATAGGTACAACTCTTCCTTTAGAGCCTATCTAATGCATCTTCAGCTGTTCCTGCATTCTCCGTTTTGGTCGATGGGGAATGCAGTCTCTCCTTGCAAAACCACTGCACGTAGCAGGTAAGTAGGACATGTTTGTTATTTTAAAAAAAAAATTGCCTTTCATATCACTTTAACAAGACTCTGACTATCCCTAGAGAGGATATCCCAGTTTTTAGGGACCCTGTTGTTAAAAGGCTAGAAGATCTTTCTGAGGCCTTATTCTCCTTCGCATTTCCTGCCCTGCTACCTGCTGTTGCTGCCATGTCCATTCGCCAGACCTTAGCTGTGTATGGTGATAATTCTTAAGATCCTGGATCTATCGTAACTGATTCTTCTGTCCTCCAACTGGAGCTCATGTTGTAGCCCTACTCTTTTTATTTGATGGGCTAGTAGTAGACCTGGTAAACCATATATCCTGAATGGCCTCCTTTTGGTATACAGCTTAAGGGCCATTTGGCACAGTTGTTGGTTGGAGGAACATCATTACAAGGAACACCTCTTTTGCGTAAGCCCTTGATGAGGAGTGCTCCTTTGGTGAATCTCTTCTTCTGGGGGAAAAAAAAGTACCAGTTGTGCCCCAGAAAAAAAATGCAAAACTTCAATGTGAATACCCCTGCTTCAGAGACTAAGAAAAGTTCCTTTTTGTTTCTCACAGGCCTCCAAGGCAACCCTGGAACTCTGTTCCACCATAAATCTTGGACACTCAATTCCTCAAAATCCAGTAGCAAGCCCTTCTCACAATAAACGTATCCAGAGGCTACAACTGGAGCCATCATGGTTCTGCACATAGCTTCCTAAAAACATCATAGCACCCTGCCTTTAAGAGCTCTTGGCCTTGTTAAAATCAGTGAGATTTCTTTTGAGAGGATATCGGTATCTGCCTCCATGTTCCCTTCATGTTGTCAACCTGCTAGCATTCCTGCAATGACTGGTGGAACTCCTTGCTGCTCTTGCACAACTCCCATCTTAAGGGATTACAGCCCTTGTCCCAGAAAGAAAAAAGGTTCCTGGATTTCTGTTCTAACCTGTACACTGTCCAAGGACAAAAGGGACATCCTCCATACACCATACCTAAAATTTCTCTCCAGGTATGCACATTCTGCATGGAATCTGCTAGATCGATCAGTGTTTCCTTCCATCCAGGAGTCCTTCTGGGCTCTGTGGACATCAATATTGCTTGTCTTTTGCAGTGGGCGCAAAGCATTACCAATTTGTTGCCTTTTTCTCTCGGCTATCCACTTCACTTTGGATCCTCGCCAAGGTGCTAACCTTTTTGCTCTGCTTTGCTCTTAGGGAATCTCCATAGTGGGATATTTATACAATCACATTCTGAGATGTAAGTTGGCACAGACTCTGTCAGCCAATGTCCAATCGACTATCCAGACCCTGCAGGTGTAGGAGTGGATCTTATTTCTGTAGAAGCAAGCACTGAAACCAACTTATCAGTTGAGGTTACTAAGCCTAGTTCTGCCATGGTTTTCCTTCTGCAGGAAAAACTTGACTCTCCATTTCCAGGTTTGAGCTCCACAGTCCAAGAGCCAACCAAGCATCCACCGTTGTATGAGTGTTCTGGACTTAAAGGGTAACTCCACTTTCGTGGGGAAAAAAATAGCAAAAAAAGTAATCTAGCATTTTACAAGTGCGACTCAAATCATATTGTAATTGTTATTACAAATTACCTTTCCCTTTCAATCTGCAGCACTGTAATTTTCTATAAAATGCAATGCAATATAGCTATTTGAAGGTGTTCTGTACACGTTTGTACAGAATGCCCTCTGAAGATTTAATTTCCTGCTTGTGTGATTGGC